TGTTTGGTAACAGTGCTGAGAAGAATATTTGGACTTAAGATATCGAAATTATCAAGAAGATTGGGAAAATAACACAAGAAACTTTGAAATGTACATTCTTCATCAGATAATGTGTGATCAAATCAAGAAAGGTGAAATTTGGAGCATAGAAGCATTCATGTTGGAGTTGCGAAATTATTTTAGTAGGAAAACCCGTTCTTGCGAGATTTAGGCGTGAATTAAAGGGTTGTATTAAAACGGATCTTTACGAAATACGGTGTTAATTGAATTAAACTGGCCCAAATAGAGTCCAACTACGGGATCGTGTGAACATAAAATGTATCTTCAGATTTCGTAAGAGGGGTTTAATTTCTTGACCATCTGAGGTACTGTCAGTACTTATGAGTATCTTAAGAATTACTCTGCTCCGTGAAGTTAAATAAATGATTTCTGTTCTCGTTTTCCACGTCTCGCAAACAGATGCATAGTGCAGACTATCGCCTCTCGCATCCCCTTTTCCTGTTTTGTTGAACGGAGCTTTGCAGGTGCTGAGGTCGTTTGCCGCGGGGCCCGCAGCTCTGGAAATCGACCCCTATCCTGAATTACTTTCCATCGCCAGTGTTGAAGATGTCATTTTAGTGACAGAGGTTAAGAGCCCTATTCGCAGTATGTCTGTATGTGATTTTGGTAAGGATTATAATTAGCAGCCAATCATTAATTAGTTTACGCTGACATACACTCCGCAATCCAAAGTTCTGTTATTGAATTTTCTGATAAAGGAACTCTGTACTCCGGAGACGTTTCTTACAAACGTAGTATTTTCTCTTTATGATAATGCTTTAGATCTAGTCTGTAAGGTATAAATGTTCTCTAACCTAATAGCTATTTCTTATCATTGTCATAAATATCGTCTTATGACGTACTTACATGAGACAGATCGTCAGTGTGTGTGTGTGTGTGTGTGTTTTGGACTCTGTAAGTTAAAGTTTAGCATTATCCTCTTGCAATGAAACTATGGGTATTAATATCTAATACCTAATTACCACAAAATGTATTGCAGTTGCCGTGTGTATTCAGTTAGTGAGGAAATTGATAGTGTTGACAATAACTTCTATTGTTAGTTTATGGTGTTAGACTGGAAACATAAGCCACTCAGTTTTTAAATTAATATTTTTAGATTTTACGAAGATCCCGTATAAATCAGACCACAAGTCAAATACAAAAAAACGTAACTAGCAGACTGTGACAAGCCGCATCAGGTGACAGGTCAACCGAAAATATGTACAAATTCTCACCTCGGTTTCGTGCTGTTATTTTGTTACTTAATAATAATAATAATAATAATAATAATAATAATA